AATCACAAAGCTGTATAATTGCCACGGTGGTCCTGATGATGCTTAGTTATTATGATTTGAAACACTGATTGGACTATTCCACATGACTTCTCCAGTAGTCTAGTGTATATTGTGCTTACAATATCTAGTGATTGTAGGAAAATGGATTACTTCATGTTCCAAAGGAAGAGGCGCAGAAGGCTCAGGCAGCCATGTTTTCAGATCCAAACATGGCCATGGACATGATGAAGAAGAATCTATCCATGATAGTTCCTCAGGTCCTATGTTCTGCACATTGATTTATTTGTGTTGCAGCATAGTTGGCTATCTGTGTGGCATTCTACCTTATATTAACATGCTGTTTTGTCTTTTTGCAGACACTTACATTTGCATGGGTGAACTTTTTCTTTTCAGGTTTTGTTGCAGGTATGTCGATATTTGCTTAATATATATATATGATTTGGGATACCTGATCTTCTCATATCTCAGCTACAAGTTTAATCCTCGTATTAATTCCAATTCCATGCTATTATAAGATCACCTCTGTTAATTCCAGAAGCTCAATTCTACCTTTCGAGTCTCTGCAAAGTTATTGTATATAAACACGCCTCAACTTTATCTTATGGTATCATCAATAGATGATGGAAATGATTTTTTTTAACACATTTTGGTATGGCAATTTGCAATCTTTGGAAGAAACCTGATACCAAAACTATGTTCTGAAGTCGCCATTTCTTTTCACTTTTAAATTGAAAATGATAGGGTAAAATGCTATTTTATGGTCACGTTCTCAATCTAGCACTTTTCAATTCCTGGCTTGTGATCCCAATAAAACTTAGAGATGCATTGTTAAGAATTAAATACTTCTGATGAAATTAGTAGTTAGCAGATTTCACGTAATAGAGCAGACAAACACTGTTCCGGCTGATTTGTTGTGAGAGAAAAACACTGTTCCGGCTGAAAAAACAAGCTGAAAAGTATGGATTATAAGAGAAGCGAACAGGGCCATATACCCATGTGTATTATTTGCTTTTGCTGTTTTGTTATCATGTCTTATCTCCAATTGTATGTAGTTGAAGCATGCTCACATATATGCCAATCTCTTTTCAGCGAAAATCCCCTTTCCGTTGACTCAGAGATTCAGGGGAATGCTGCAAAATGGGATTGACCTGAGCACTGTTGATGTCAGCTATGTCAGCAGCCGTTCATGGTATGTATAGAATTATTATCTTTGTGTCAAGGAATTACCTTGATGATAGTGACTAGGAGCTCTATAATCTCTAACGTTTGCTGTTATTGATAGGTATTTCCTCAATTTATTCGGCTTGAGGGGTCTTTTCAGTCTGATCCTTGGTGAAGAAAACGGTAATGATACTCACCTTTATCTCTGGAAAACTTGTTAGTGGTGTTTATTTATTGTTTTGCATTGCCTGGTGGTTTGATTATCTTTGCCTGGATGTGCAGCAACTGATGATGCACAAAAAATGATGCAAATGGGCGGTGGATTTGGATTTAACCCAACAATGGTAAGATGCTCTCTGTTATTTATGCAAATTCTTGGTGCTTGTTCCTGATTGATACATGATGATGCATGGTACATCACACACCACTTATTTTCACATTCAAAGGAAACAAAAACAGCTCTGCTTAGCATTTAGTCCTTCATTTTTTTATTTGCCAGTCTCGTATTTAATTCAGCATTCTTAAAAACTAGATTAATTAATCTTACATAGAAGTTTGTGGTTTGGTGGAGTATTTGTGAATGAATTTTGAGTTACATGTATGGTTAGTCGTTATGGTATGCAGTTACAGTCAATCATCAACCTCCTACGAACGTTGCTCCAAGGATCCTATTGTACAGGGGAAATTGTAGCTGATTTCCTCTTGCTCTGGTGTCAAACATCTGATACTGCAAGAACTTGATGGCTCCTATGTCCAGCTTTTGGCATCTTTTGCATCTTGAGATATCTATTTTATGAACTTGGAAGTTTTCGTTGTTGTTTTTATTCTTCACTTAGTTGTTGGTGTCTTGCTGCTGTAGTTACCCAGAGCAGATTTCTTGATATGTACGATTACTGCATTTTGTTTGTTTATTTCACATGTCTATATCTGCGTCAATATAATTATCTGTTCTGAACTTGTGACTTGACAAGATTGAGACCTTACCTTTTTTTTGATTGGCTATTTCCAGAGTTTGGGTGCAGAGAAAGACAGCCTGGATATCATCCAGCATGACTGGGCTCTACCTAAGATGGAGCGGCATGCAGAAGATGTGTTGAAACAATTGCTGAAGAAATGACATGAATGGTGGCTTCTGGGAAGCAATACTCGCGTCTTCCAGTTTTTGTTGTAGCCTGTTTGGACCAGGAATTTTACACATTTCAAATAGTATTATTTATAACTGGCTACGATAACACCCTTAGAAACTGGAGACCTAGGTTCACAAGAACTTTGGTGTTGTGATACTTATATAAGTAGAAAAGATGTAATTCTGTAACTTTCTTCTCCTGATATTTAAGAGCGTTGTTTCAGCAGTCCTGTTGTGATTTCTTCTGCTCATGGAATCTGCCAGGTTTTTGACGGGATCTTAATGTTGTACCAGTAACCTTATCGATCGCCAAGATAAAACTGCATCTTATCCGAAAAGACGAACGCCCTTTGTTCAAAAGATGGCCAACATCATGATTGATTGTCCTTAGAGCTGCAGTTCTCAACTCTGGCTGCCGGCTCACATGACCGGGTAGCTCGGGAGCAGAGCGATGCCGCAGAGGCCGGACGCGACGCTGGCCTCGCGCTGCACGAGGATGTAGCCGGCGTCGCCCCACTCGGCCCCCCACGAGTTCTTGACGATCCAGTACTTCTGCCCGGGCACGCCGCTGCCGTCGCCGTCCGTGTCCCCCTGGGTCTCGCCATACCCGACCACCGTGACGCCGTGGTTCAGGTCGGCAGTGCAGGGCCCCGTGAACACCCCTCCGCCGTAGAGCTGCCACACGAAGCTGCCGGCGTCCACGGCCACGGACACCGGCTGCGCCGCGGCGGCCCGCAGGAGGTCCGTCTCGCTGCTGGCCGTCACGTTCACGTACCCGGAGATGCTCACCGCGCTCTCCTTCAGCTTCGGCGTCTGGCAGGCGCCGTTCATCCCTGCACACGAACGCAACGAACGTGGAGCTAGAAATGCAAATCCTTGATCTCTTGGTGCAGTGAAATGGAAGAGCATGAGCTTTCCAGTTTCCATGTACGTACCTTGGTAAGGGTAGTTCCGTTCGGTGGTGAGGCCACCGTTCTTCATGACGAACTCAAAGGCCCAGCTCATGTATCCGCCGGCGCAGCCGACGGCCTTGGTGTCGCAGTCCACGAGCTCCTGCTCTGACAGGGACACCAGCTTCCCGTTCTTGATCTGGTTGATGCCCTCGATGGCCGCAACGGCAGAGAACGCCCAGCAAGAACCTGCAGACACGCAAAATCTCACCAAAAACAGGCGTCGCATCCATCATCCTTCAGATCATTTTTTCACTGATACTACCACTCACCACACTCCCCCTGGTTCTTCACCGGCGCGACAGCTCCTTTCTCTCGCCAATCGACGCTTTTCGGTAGTTCAGAATAACCTCGACCCAGTCCACTTCCAATCTATAACCAGCACAAACATCATGGGAAAACATAGCTGAGAAACTTTCGACGGCTACAGTCAATGATTGCTGTGATGCTGTTATTACTGACAATGCAAGCTCATAGTTTCAGAGAAAGAGAATACAAACACAAGCCACGGTGCTCGGCGTCGTGGTGTGCCCGGCTCTGCCGTGAGGCCGTCCGAAGCCCAGCATCTTGGCCCTGAACTCCTCGTTCGTCAGGTCGGCGAACTTGTTGTCAGCCAGCTTGTACCCGCCGTTGCTCATGGAGTTGAACAACTCAACCAGCTCAACGTTCCTCCGGTACACCTCGAGCCGCCTCTGCTTCTCCCCCGCGTCGGCGTACAGCCGGCCATGCCTGCCCATCCACTGCTCGAACCTCTCGAGCATCGGGTCGGCACGCGCTAGAGCCGCGCCGCTTATCCAGACGGCAGCCTGCAGCACGAAAAGCAGGGGAGACCTCGCCATTGCTGGAGCTTTGGCTTGGCCTGGGGAGGACGGCGATCGGCGATGGTGCATGCACGGACGGAGGCGCGATGATTGTGGAATGTGGAAGTACTTATAGTCGTCCGTAACTTGCGACAGGCTGGGGACATTGCGAGAAGGTCGTTATGGACTGTCCTCATGCCGCGAGCGTGATTTGGGGGATGATCTGTTGCACAAGCTAGCATGCACCGTTGCATTGCATGTGAAGTGCGCTGGAAAGAAGAATGGTGCACAGGATTTTCGTTTTGTGACGGCAAGTTGTCTTGGCTGTTCCGTTTTTTTCGACCTTTACCTTGTTTCGTGAAGACATGCTTGCATTTAATAGATAGATTACTGTGCTTTGCCATAAAAGGAAAGGCAAGGACCCGGTAAAGTAGTGTACACCGCTACATCTGGATTGCACTATTCCAGTAGTAATGAACCCTACAGTATAAAATGCAGTGGATGCCCAAATATACTTTTTTTTTTTGCAATCAATCTACCTTCAAAAGACTGTAAATCATTCAGCATAAAACAATGTGGAAATAAGAATGATGTACTCCACCAGAAGTTTTACTTACATCAAACACCAGATTGCCTATAAGCAGATGAGAGAACAATCCGGCAAATTATTCTGAAAAACAAACCAGCAGTACTATTGGAAGCTCAAAATATAGAAACCAAGTATTGCTGAAAGTGCAGTATACACTGAACTAACTGTACAGGTGGCGAGTTGTATCAAAGGAGCTTCAAGGACTTACAAGAACACGAGTATTCCCAGTTTCCCCCTCAAACAACAGTTTAATGCTCTTGAAAGCTGTCAAGATGCTACATGTACATGAATCGTCCACTGGAATTGCCACTCTATGGCATCAGGCCTTGCCCTATGATACTTGTAAAGTGCACAACAGGAGCAACAACAGTGCATTAATGGCCAAGCCATGCAGAAGGCACCGGCTGAAACCTAGACTTAGCAGTTGATAGAGCATCATGGTACTCAGCCCCACTGAAACAGTCACGGAAGTCGGTGAACAGCTTGTCAAACACCCTCCACAGTACCTTATATGATCTGGAGTATGGGAATGGAAGGAAAAACTGCACATGAAAGGAGTACATAAGTGATCTGCTATGAATACTAGCATATCCAAACAACCATAAGTTGTCTATGATATGCCTTATCATACTATTATGCCAGTACTAAAACATGAACATCTACGTTAAAAAAAAAAAAACATGAACATCACCATGCATCAGAGTAGTACTTCTAGGGAATTTTATGCCTGTGTCCATTGTAACTGGGAAAGTGTGGGTATTGTTTTTTGCAACAACAACAAGGTACACTTCCAGCTTGTTTCAGCTTATTCTCTCTCACATAACACTATTGAATCATCCAAAACCATCCGAAATTCACTGTGCTACCTACCAGCCGAACACAGTGAAAGCCTTTAAGTCCCAAATGGGTATTGTTTTTTGCGAGTTAAAGAAAATGCAAACAAAATTATCTTACTTCTCCTTCTTGTGCAATGCGTTTTAACAGCACGAAAGTTTGCTGGTTTTCTTCCAAGCTGTCAATGACTGCAAGCCATATTTTTGAAGCAAGATCATGGGCCTTTTCTCCTGTATTACCACAAGCAATGAACTGATCTGTACAGAGGAGAAGGAAAGGCATGTTAATTCAGAGTTAGCATAAGCATGAGTATGAGCAATCCTCTGGGAGGATTATCTTAACTATTAAGTACAGAGAAGTATTGTGAACTCCAATATTTCCACTGAAGCAGCTATGGCCTATAAGAAAACTCAATGAGCCTATATGACAGGGGAAGGGACATGAATGCCAAGTGATGTCCTGTCCTCACAACCCTAAAACACCTGCAGTTGCTAATAAGCTGTGGTGTACATATAGCCCATGAACACCTCATTTGCTCGAGAATCCATCCAGCATACCTTAGACTGGAGCAGATAAATACTGTCTTAAAAGCACACTGAAGTATGCTTATACATTAACTCTTCTTATGGCACCAGACATATTCTATCAAAATATTCCACTAGTTGGTATGATTTCATTGCAGGATACCATTTTCTTTTTATCTTTGGAGCATGCTTTTGACCACTAATCCACTATCATCATTAAACACTAAAAGCGCACTGTCACTAAAAAAAAGCAGATGAACTTCACTCTTGTGCAAGTTGGAACAGAAAACCTCACCAATGATGGTGCCATGAAGTATGCTGGAAGGAGGCATGGTATGGCGCTCAAGCTGTTCTTTTAAGTAGAGATAAGTGTGACCAACAAGCTCATCAATCTCCCCACCAGATGGTACTAAGTTCTCACTGACATACAGTGCTTGAAATCTCCTAAAAGGACCCAAGAAACAATTTTCATTGGATGTTAAAGACACTAGAGCTAGATGATATCCCAAGAGAACGACTCCCCAGTTCTGAATTCTGTTCTAGCGAGTATGTATTGCATAAGCCAGTTCTTCTTTGTTTTCTTTTTTTTTTTTTTTCCTGAATGGGAGAACATGCCAGCTTATTGCGTTATACTTCACTTCAAAGTGAAATTGCCTAAATTAAATTCAAAGGACATGTAATCTAATAATGCAAGGAACAGAATTCAGGAATTCATGGAAACTAGAGAGAGCAGCATTTGGCAGTAGTTTGACTGTTTTCAACACCAACATTTAGGAGAGGGCAGTAGGACACAACAACATTATATTACAGAACTCACCTCCTAGCAGAACCTCTAGGAATTGGCCCAGGCCAGCGTTTTCGGAGACCAGCAGACGGCCAGTTCCTTGCAATAGCAGTTTGCCACATGTATTCTCCTTGGAATATGCTTGCCCAATGCTTGTTGACACATGCTAATTGCACCCACTCATAGACCGGTAAACGAATGAATATTTCTACGATAACATGTTCTGGGAGCCTCCCAATTGGTCCATCACTTTTGTCTGCCATAAGGCTATCAAACAGAAAATGAAGGTTAAGCATACATGCTTTCATGCCTAGTTCAACATAAAGATAAATCATTAAAATTCGCTTGTGACAGCATAATACAATGAATGCCAGGTGCCAAAGACAAATGTACAAACTTTGGAACAAGATGCATCAGATAATAAATAAAATTTTCAGTGTGCAGGAAAAAAACTAACAGCCTGTGTAGTCTATTTAATCAATGGTGGACAAATAGCAGACAATGTCTGTTGTATGCCCTTCCCTTAGCAAAAGGGACCCAAGGAAGTTGCCCAGCATGCTAAAAATGCTCCTACAAACAGAAATGCATTGTACCACGCTTGTGTGAAAGACAAAGTGATTGCAATTTTCAAGCTCTCTTTCTCACATTAGTAACCTAAAGCAAAGTGAATCTGAAAAACAAATTTCAGTTGTGCCAGATTATTTGCTGAATATATGCCCAAGGAGCCAAGCAGTGCCCTCCCTTTGCAACTAAAGAGCGTAACTCAACTCCCTGTCTTCCTACAACTACAGTTAAGCTAGACAAGTATGGTAGTGTGCAATTGGCACTACAGTCTAAAAACAGTGCCACACCGATCAACAAAATGAGCATACCATAAGAATCTAATGTCAATCACTCGGTCAGAAAAGGTTATAACCACTGTTTGCCTAAACGGCCGTTTAGCCCGTTTACACACCGTTTAAACGTTACACGGGGTACACCGTTTCCGTTTAATCGGTTGTTTTGACCGTTTAAACGGCTGTTTTTCCCGTTTAAACAGCTGTTTTGCCCGAATAATGGGCTAAACGGTAGGTGACCGATTGTTTACCGTTTAACGTTGAGGATAACACTGGTTATAACTGATCTAAACTAGAGGAGATCAAATTGCAGTAGTGGGCAGGCTTCTGATTACATCCACACCAACAAATAAGAGACCCTGTACAAGTAAAGGACTATCCAAAAATAAAGCTATCTTGGTCACCACCCATCAGTCCAAGAAGGCGCCACAAAAGCTTAACCAAGATTGACCCCTATGACTCTATGAGAAACCGGAAGAACATCACCTGAACATACACATACCAGGTGCACTGACGGAGCAGAGCTGACCAGCCAACCGACCAACTAACAAGAGCCACAAAGAAACTTTATACTAGGCACCGCACAAATCCAAACAAAGTCACCGAGAAATCCTATCAAGATTCTCACTTCAGGTTGAGTCCGGGACGAGCGGGAGCATGTCTATGGGGATCAAACAACCACACTTCATCCAGACAGCTGAACTAAAATCAGACGATGGCACAGGCTGCAAGAACCAAGCGAGTACCTGGTGGGGAGAAGCGGTTCCTGGATCCTCAGACCGGTCTGCGGCCGGCGAAGAATGGGCGGATGAGCGGAGGCCGCCGAGTCGGGTGGATGGAGGAGGTGGAAAAGAGGGAGGTGCAGCCGTGCAGACACTGACGGCTCCGTTTTAGCTGCCGCTGTCATCTTCTCGTGTACCATCCTTCCTGCCCTGGGGGCGCGTACCGTCTCACCGGGCTAGCGTGGGCTCACCGGCCCAACCTGTTGGGCTGTAGCGCACTGGCCACGGTCCGTCCAACCTTCCGCGTTCGTTCGCGTGGTGGGCTGTCTCTGTCTGGTTGGGAGCATCTGTAGGCCCATCCACGGACTGGGCTTTATGGCCGGCATCAATTCGTCGCACGCCCCCACCGCACAACACCACGGCGTTTCCACACTAAAAAAAACAGCTTCCCCAAAAAAAAAATTAAAAAAACAGCTCGGCCGGCACGGGGCACGGGGCACGGGGCACGGGCACGGCGACCACGTGACACCCACCTCGTCGTCCCTTCCGCAGGCAGCCACGGCCGGCCGGCGGAGGCAGCCGCGCCCACGTGCATCCCTCTTGGACGAAGCAGCGGGCCATGACGTGGCTTGGGGCGAGTAGGCGACTGACGAGTAGTAGAAGTAGAAGAAGTAGGCGAGCGACCGGCACGCCGCCCTGTCTCACCTCCCGACTTCTCCCTTCCTCGTAGTAGTCTCCCACGACTACTCATCTCGGCGCTGAGGCGGGCGAGGAATTCGTGGTTCGTGCCCTGCTCACCTCGTGAGGATGCGGATCGCGAGGCGGCTCTTCCTCGCGGCGCCGGCGCTGCTGTTGGGTCTGCTTCTGCTCGTCGCGGGGCCGGTGGCGGCGCAGGACGCGGCGGTGGAGGGCGTGGCGCCGGCGGCGGATGAGATCGCGGCGAACGCGAGGGCCAAGGAGGCAGCGGTGCTGGCCGCCGAGCTGGGCCAGCTCAGGGCGAAGATCTCCGCGTTAGGTGCGTGCACGCTTACCTGATTCCGGCTCCGCTTCGTGCTGTTCTGCTGCGTCGTCGGTGGGGTTTAGCTGACTCACTAGGGTTCAGGTGGAAATTCAACATTATGTCGTGACGGAACGGGGTAATGCGAGATAGGGCGAGTTGGGTTGGGGGAGGGATTGGTGAGTACCTGATGCTTTGGCTGCTGTTTCACTGGGTTTACGTTTCTACTTGAGACGATTTCAAATGCTTTGACGAAGGCCAGGTTTATCTGAGAAACGTTTCTGTTCAAACCTTGCAATTTAGAGCAAAATCCTTTGTCATTGTGCCTACATTCCCCTTGCAAGTTAGAGCACATTATGCTCATACCAATCTATCGTGTTTTGTAAGCTACAGTTTCAGCTTTTGTCTGAGAGTGAAGCAATTTGGGGTAAAATAGCCTGTGTAGCTGAGTGCAAGTTTGTACCAACTTCTAATCATGACAAAATGCTTTGTCATTTTTCTTCTTAAAATTTTGAACAGTGAGAAACTGGCATGATTGTTTTCATTCTGCAGAGTCTCGCATTGCAGAGCAGAACCTGGAGTTGAAGACCAAGAATGATGCAATTGAAACACTGGATATGATTGTCAAGGAAAAATCACAGAAGATAGCTACTATGCAGAATGAAGTAACTTCCCTCGAGGTTTAATAACAACGAATACACTATTGTAGCATTGTTTTATACCTTATTGGAGTAGCAATATTCATTACCTACTGCCTATACAGGCCAGGGGGTCTTTAGCTACAGAGGAGCAGGCAAGCAAGGCCAATGCACGGGCTATTGAGCTCGAGAAGCAGGTAGTGGGCTGGTAGAATTCCATGAACTGTTACTGTGACAGAATGTTGTGGTTTCTGATCTAACTTCTTCCAGATCGAGAAGGTCAAGAAGGATATTACAGAACAAAAAATAAAAAAAGCAGCTCTGGAGGCTAGGGCTGGTGATGCTGATAAGAAGGTGCAAGAGCTGAATACGAAGCTGGAGAAAGTAAGTGTGCAGCTGTGGTTGCGGAGTTATCTTCATTGCTACTACATTAGACTACAATTTTTTTCTCTACTTCACTAAAATTTGCAATTACTTTTCATTGATAGCGGTCATGGTGAATCTTCTGTGGTTAGACAGTGAGCATACTTTCTGTGTTATGCTTACTGCTATTTTTTCCCCTTGTGTGAGGTTCCAGTACTGGTAGTGGTATGGTTCTTCTCTGTCCATGTTAATTGTAAGTGAATATGTAATTATACTACACATGAGTGATGAGTCATGAAAATTTGTGGTTGAATTACTCTTATCACTATTTGGTGATTGTAGTCACTTGATAAAAGAAGTTCTGACAGTTGTCACAGTTCCATGGAATGAAAAATAGAGACCAGCCTAGGAGGAAGTAGGTGGCTTTATATTAAGAAAATAGGCACCCAAATTTGCCTCTGTAAGTTGAACCTAAGGTGGTCTAGGCATACATCCACACCCTCAACCTACCGAGTTAGGCTCAGTTTCCTAGAGTTCCATGGAATGACAGCGTACCACATGTTAGCATTTTCTTATTTATCTTAAGTATATATGGGGCTCATGTCTTGTTGAGTTGCAGTCAAGCTGTAAAGTCAAAAAAACGTTTGAGGTTATTGACGGACCAGGGTCCTAGGGGTTTCCCACGGGAGTACTACCTGGATGGGCCCTGGGATGGCCCACGATCTGTTGAAGAACGCGAGACAAGGTGGTGTGGACTTTAAGCTATTCCAGATCAACTTAGTCGGTTTACTATGAAAGCTAGATTCTGTAATAGGACTAGAACTCTTCTCTTGTAATCGACTAGGACTAGATACGTGCCCTTACCCTCTCCCCTATATAAAGAGAGGTATGGCGCACCCCCTTGTAACCCTAACAATCATACAATCAATCCAACGGAAAAGGCTACACGCTGACTGAACATAAAGGCTATTACTCGACAAGAGGGCCCGAACTAGTATAAATCGTTCGTCTCTTTGCGTTTACTGTCGAGTTCTACGTACGCCGAAGCCCTTCGAACATCGTCCCGGGTAACTCCGCAACGAGTTGCTGGTCATCAAACACCGACGGCTGGCGCGCCAGGTAGGGTATTTCGGCGACTTCGCGATCGAGAGCTCGGCGGACCTCGACGACATGATTTTCTCGGCGGGAACCACCTTCATCTTCGGCTCCTAGATCTACAAGGCAGACGACAACGGCAAGCTCCAAAGTCGTCTCATGGAGATCCCGGCGCCTCAAGCTTCACCAGATGTCTCGACGATCACACTGACGTCCCTAATATTTGCAGATACGCTAAGGAAAATAGGCCAGAATTTTACCAGCCTACTCACTCCCACTGACGTCCCTTTCTAACCCGGCAAGGCTGCCATGCCACTCGGACGGATCACGCTCCTGGTAACGTTTGGCAGTCAACACAATTTCCGAACGGAGTTCATCCAGTTCGAGGTAGCTGACTTCGAATCATCATACCATGCTATCTTCGGTTGACCTGCTTTGGCCAAGTTCATGGCCGTATCTCATTACCCGTACCTCTTGCTCAAGATGTCGGGTCCCAATGACATACTCTCCTTTCAAGGTGACCTCAAGCGCTCATATGACTACGACACGGAAGCCGTCCAGAACGCAGCAAGCCTATGAAGCACAGGAGATTGCCAACATTGCACAGCAGACTAAGCCGGAAGACATGGAGATTTCCGACTAAGAAGGCGGGAATCATTGCCCCAGCCTCTAAGACGGATACCATCGAGATTGATCTAGGTATTGTTGATCCCTCTAAGACGGCTATCATCAGCGCCCATCTTTCTAAAGAATAGGAACTCGCGCTCACCAACTTTCTCAGAGAAAACAAGGATATCTTTGCATGGAAATCGGCTGATATGCCGGGTGTTCCGAGAGAGTTGGCTGAGCACAAATTGGATTTAAATCCCGGCTCAAACCCGGTTAAGCAACGTCTACGACGGTTCTCACCTGATAAGAAAGCGGCAATCAAGATGGAAATCACCAAGCTATTGGCAGCCGGGTTCATTAGGGAAATTCTTTACCCTGACTGGCTAGCCAATCTAGTACTCGTCCTGAAGAACTCAAAAGAGTGGCGCATGTGCGTCGACTACACAGATCTCAACAAGCATTGCCCGAAGGATCCGCTTCGGCTTACCTCGCATTGATCATATCATAGACTCCACGGTATACCATCAGATTGCCCTCCGTAAAGAAGATCAGAGCAAGACATCCTTCATCACTCCGTTTGGTGCCGACTGTTACACAACCATGTCCTTTGGGTAAAAAAACGTCGGGGCAACCTATCAGCGGGCTATCCAGGCGTGCCTAAGCAAACAGATCGGTCATAATGTAGAAGCCTACGTGGATGATGTCGTCGTCAAGACTAAGGATCCCACTACTCTGATCGCAGACCTGAAGCAAACCTTTGACAATCTGAAGAGGTACAAGTGGAAGCTTAACCCAACCAAGTGTGTGTTTGGAGTTCTTTCCGGACAGCTATCGGGTTTCCTCGTGAGCCATCGGGGTATCGAAGCTAGCATGAAACATATTCGAGCAATCACTCAGATGACTCAACCTCACTGTGTCAAAGATGTTCAGAAACTGATAGGGTGCATAGCGGCCCTCAATCGTTTTATCTCGCGACTTGGGGAGAAAGGTCTGCCCTTCTTTAAGTTGTTGAAAAAGACGGGCAAGTTCGAGTGGACAACCGAAGCTGACGAAGCCTTCTAGAAGCTCAAAGAGTACCTGTCCACCTCTCCAATACTTACTCCACCCGAGAAGCACGAACCACTCCTACTTTACATTGCAGCTACTACTACGGTAGTCAGCATGGCAATAGTCGTGGAGCGGGCTGAAGAAGGGCACATATATAAGGTACAATGACATGTTTATTATATTAGCGAGGTGCTATCAGAATCCAAGGCCAAGTACCCACATGTGCAAAAGCTCCTCTATGCCTTCTTAATCACTTCATGCAAGCTACGCCACTACTTTGACGAACATAAGGTAACAGTGGTATCCGACTTCCCACTTGGCGACGTCTTACGCACTCGGGATGTAACAGGACGCATATCCAAGTGGTCAGTTGAACTCGGAGCTCAGAACATTGAGTTCGTCTCCCGCAAGGCTATCAAATCTCAAGTCTTGACTGATTTCATAGCCGAGTGGACCGAAGCCCAACAGTTATCCTCGATCATTGGAAGATGTATTTCGATGGTTCCCTGAAGCTAGGAGGTGTAGGCGCTGACATTCTCTTCATATCTCCAGATGGAAAGCAGCTTAAATATGCCCTACAAATACTTTGGCCTGCTACCAACAATGAAGCCGAGTACAAGGCCCTCCTTCACGGCCTTTGAGTAGCAGTCTCACTTGGCATCAAGCGTTTACTCGTCTATGGCTACTCCTCGGTGGTCATCAACCAGGTTAACAAGGATTGGGATTGCACCAAGGAAACCATGGACGCTTACTGCGCAGAAGTCCGTAAACTTGAGAAACACTTTCAAGGTCTAGAAATCCTCCATGTTATGCGAGATCTCAACGTTGCAGCTGATGTTTTGGCCAAATTGGGATCAGACAGAGCCCAGGTACCCCCTGATGTGTTTGTACAGGAACTCAAGTCCCTTCAATCAAGCAAGAGGCTTCCACACCCACCAGTACTCCCTGATGTCCAGGTACTAGTGGTCAACCCGGCATGGACGCAAGTATTTATTGATTACATCCGAGATCACAAGTTGCCCGACAACAAGGTAGAAGCAGAGCAGATCACACGCAGAAGCAAGAATTACGTCTTAGTCGGAGACAGGCTCTACCGACGGGGTGCATCATTTGGTGTTCTTCTCAAATACAGTACACCTGAAGATGGGCAACAGATCTCGGAGGAAATCCACTCCGGGTGCTGTGGTAATCACGCAGCCTCCAGGGCTTTAGTCGGCAAGGCTTTCAATCTGGGTACTATTGGCCTACAACACTCAAAGATGCAGAAGAGCTAGTGCGACACTGCAAGGGCAGTCAGTTCTTCGCCAAACAAGTCCACGTCCTAGCTCACAACCTTATCTGCATCCCTCCATCATGGCCTTTTTCATGCTGGGGGCTCAACATGGTTGGACCCCTCAAACGAGCACCGGGTGGTTTCGAGTACATCTATGTGGCTATTGATAAGTTTACCAAGTGGATAGAGTATAAGCCACTCGTCAAGTTCAACGCTACAAAGGCAGTCGAGTTCATGCAAGACATTATGTACCGGTTCGGTATGCCCAATCGGATCATTACAGATCTCGGCTCACCCTTTACAGCTATCGAGTTCAGAAGTTGGGCTCAAGATTGCGGCATCAGCATCGATTATGCTTCCGTAGCTCACCCTCAAGCAAACGGTCAAGTTGAGCGGGCTAACGGGCTACTTCTAGCCGGACTAAAGCCCAGGCTATTCGACGAGCTTAAAGACTACGGATACGGATCTAGGATATATGAGGATACCCAAGGTGGTTTGGGATCGATTGCGCTTTTACTATTTTTTAAAAATAAATAATAATAGAATTAAAATTGCGAACTAGGGTACTCTAATGTCTTTTTCCTAGTTTATGGCTCGAAATTAACCATCTTACCATCGACACATTACTTTTGTGTGATATGGAACTCTCCTATGGGCCCATGAACTAAAAGAAGCGATGAAGGCGAAGCGATGGGCCAAACCCGAGACAAAAGCTGGCTAGAAATTGACATTCTTTGAAGAAATTAAGCTTAACACACTTTTCGCATCATGCGAGTTGGTACATGGTGAGTGGTGAAGGCCTCACGACGTCACTCATCAACTTCTCACGACAAGAACGTGCTTTAACTTCCACGTCGCGTTACCTTTCAAGTCGGCCGGCGAGAGTAGTGAGATCTAGTTCTCAAATGTATCCGGCTGCCTCGGGGCGCCACAAGCTACTAAGGCCCGGGCGGAGGAAGGCTCCTTCATCGTCTCCAAAGTTACGGCGGGTTCCTTG